GATGAATAGATCATACAAGGCCTTGTAGGTGTTAGAAAGAACTTCGGCACGTACTCTGAGTGAAATCGGAGGCAATTGGGGTTTGAGCAGAGGAAGACATAATCTGACTTATGTTTTAAAAGATCCACTGTGTTTAAAATTAACGGAAAAAGAAAAGACAAAAGAACAAACAAGAAGACCAATTAGTTAATTATTACACTTATACGGACAACAGATGACAGTGGCTTGGTCATGGAAGATGTGTTTGGCTTCTGGATATATTTTGAAGGAAGACCTGACAAGATTTGCTGACAGATTAGATGGGATGTGTATGAAAAAGAAAAAGACAGGAGTCAAAAATGATACCAATTTTTTTTTGGCAGAGCAACTAGAAGAATTGTCATTAACTTAATTAGGAAAGACAAGAAGGGCAGGTATAAGAAAGAATATCAGTATTCAATTTTGGAGATGTTAAGTTTGCAATACCCAATAACTATCCCAAAGAAATATCAAATAGCTGGTTTTATATGTAGGTCTGGAATTCCACAGAGAGATGTGGGCTGGAGATACAACCTTGAGGATCATTAGAATATACAAGATAGTAAAAGTCAAGAGAAAGAAGATCAAGGACTGATTCCTAGAAGACTTCAATGTGGAAGAGGTGGAGAATGAGCAGAAAGAAGCAAATCAGGCTGAGATATACAGACTAGAAAGGCAGGTGGTAACCAGGTGAGTGAGTGATATCCTGAAAGCTAAATGAAGATAGAATTTTGGAGAAGAGAGTTTTCCAATGGGTCAAATATTGCTGATAGGTTAAATAAAATAAGATCTAAGAAATTATGTCTAGATTTATTAGAATGAAAATCAGTGGTGGGGTGCCTGGGTGGCTCAGTGGGTTAAGCCTCTGCCTTCGGCTCAGGTCATGATCTCAGGGTTCTGGGATCAAGTCCCACATCGGGCTCTCTGATCGGCATGGAGCCTGCTTCCTCCTCTCTCTCTCTCTGCTTGCCTCTCTGCCTACTTGTGATCTCTGTCAAATAAATAAAATCTTTTAAAAAAAAATGAAAATCAGTAGTAACCTTTGAAAAATCAATTCTGGAGTAATGGGACTGGAAATTACTAGTGAGAATTTAAGAGTGAATGGGAGGGAAATAAGGATCACTGATTGTACATGGTTCTTTTAAGGATTTCATAGCTAAGTGGAATGATCACAGATGACTTAATTTTCTTGTTTAGTTCAATCCTTACACATGATGACGTAGTATTTTTGTAATATTTTGAAATTTTTAAATTACATACATGTAGCACTAAATTTTTTTTTCTTGTTTGTTTGTTTTAAGTGCCACACCAAGGGGACGCTTGAGTGGCTTAGTCTGTTAAGTCTCCAACTCTTGGTTTTGGCTCAGGTCATGATCTCAGGGTTGTGGGATCTAGTCCTGCACAGGGCTCTGCTCTCAGTGCCAAGCCCGCCTGTCCCTCTCTCCACCACCACACCTCACCCCCAACTCTCTCTCTAATATAAACAAATAAAATCTTTAAAAAAAGCCAGACCAAGGCATTAAATAATTCATGAAATTATACAAGCAAAAGACTCCTTAAAAATTTTCTAGATATATAATATTATATAACCTGATTATCACTTTTTCTTATGCTTAAAGAGACCACAGAAAAACTCTAAGTACCAACAGCAGTATTTCATGCTTGATAAAAATCATCTAATTCTAGGATATCTTCTACTATCCAAAATAATTAGTCATATTAAAATTCTGTAAGAGAACTACAAGGGGTTTATAATGCAGAAAATATTCCTATTTTGTAAACTGAATTCTCATAAATTCTAAAATATGAGGTCACTATTGAAAATTTTGGTGTGGCACATGTAGAAATAGATTCTCTTTAAAAAGGAAGGATAATAGCACACGTGCATGGTACTTTAAGAAGAGTCAACGCATTAGCAACATCTTGGTTTATAACACAGGGATCAAATCAAATGTTTGTATAGAACATGGGACAAGTTGACACATGAAATCTCTTGGTAATACTCAGATCAATTTGAGGGTCCAACATTTGAGCACTCGTGCATTAGGAACCAAAACCAAAACCTAGTGACTAGCAATTTTGTTGGTAATAAGAGTGCCAGAATAGCAGGTAACTTCCTTTTGCAGCACAGCAGATATTAAAAGTATTCTATTTTTCACAAAACTCAACCATTCTCCTACACCATACATAAAGATAAATTCTAAATGGATGAAAGACCTCAGTGTGAGACAGGAATCCATCAGAACCCTAGAGCAGCCCCATAGGCAGTAACCTCTTCGACATCAGCCACAGCAACTTCTTTCAGAACATGTCTCCAAAGGCAAAGGAAACAAAAGTGAAAATGAACTTTTGGGACTTCCTCAAGATAAAAAGCTTCTGCACAGCAAAGGAAACAGTCAACGAAACAAAGAGACAACCCACGGAATGGGAGAAGATATTCACAACTGACACTACAGATAAAGGGCTGGTATCCAAGATCTATAAAGTACTTCCCAAACTCCACACCCAAAAAACAAATAATCAAGTCAAAAAATGTGCAGAACAACAGACACATGAGAAAGTGCTCCACATCACTCAGCATCAGGGAAATACAAATCAAAACCACAATGAGATACCACCTCACACCAGTCGGAATGGCTAAAATTAACAAGTCAGGAAATGACAGATGCTGGCGAGAATGTGGAGAAAGGGGAACCCTCCTACACTGTTGGTGGGAATGCAAGCTGATGCAACCACTCCAGGAAAACAGCATGGAGGTTCCTCAAAAATTTGAAAACAGAGCTACCCTACGACCCAGCAATCACACTACGGGGTATTTACCCTAAAGATACAGATGTAGGTATCTGAAGGGGCACATGCACCTGAATGTTTATAGCAGCAATGTCCACAATAGCCAAACAATGGAAAGAACCTAGATGTCCATCCACACATGAATGGATAAAGAAGATGTGGTGTATATATATACAATGGAATACTATGCAGCCATCAAAAGAAATGAAATCTTGCCATTTGCGATGACGTGGATGGAACTAGAGGGTATTATGCTGAGGTAAATAAGTCAATCAGAGAAAGACAATGATCATATGATCTCCCTGATATGAGGAAGTTGAGAGGCAACGTGGGGCGATTGGGGGGTAGGAAAAGAATAAATGAAACAAGATGGGATCAGGAGAGAGACAAATCATAAGAGACTCTTAATCTCACAAAACAGAGGGTTGCCGGCGGGAGGGGGGTATGGAGAGGGTGGTTGGGTTATGGACATTGGGGAAGGTATATGCTATGGTGAGTGCTGTGAAGTGTGTAAACCTGGTGATTCACAGACCTGTACCCTTGGGGCTAATAATACATCATAAGTTAATAAAAAAAATAGAAAGTTATATTTAAAAAAATGGGCAGAAGACATGAACAGATACTTCTCCAAAGAAGACATACAAATGGCTAATAGACACATGAAAAAATGTTCATCATCATTAGCCATCAGGGAGATTCAAATCAAAACCACAATGAGATACCACCTTACAACAGTTAGAATGGCCAAAATTAACAGGACAGGAAACAACAAGTGTTGGAGAGAATATGGAGAAAGGGGAGCCCTGTTACACTGTTGGTGGGAATGCAAGTTGGTGCAGCAGCTTTGGTAAATAGTGTGGAGGTTCTGCAAAAAGTTAAAAACAGAGCTACCCTAAGACCCAGCAATTGCATTACTGGGTATTTACCCCAAAGATACAGATGTAGTGAAAAGAAGGACCATATGCATCCCAATGTTCATAGCGGCAATGTCTACAATAGCCAAACTGTGGAAGGAGCAGAGGTACCCTTCAACAGACAAACGGATGAAGAAGATATGGTCCATATATACAATGGAATATTCCTCAGCCATCAAAAAGGGTGAATACCAACATCTGCATCAACGTGATGGAACTGAAGGAGATGATGCGGAGTGAAATAAGTTAAACAGAGAAAGACAATTATGACATGGTTTCACTTATTTGTGGAACATAAGGAATAGCATGGAGAACATTGGAAGGAAGGGAAAAATGAAGGGGGGAAAATCAGAGGGGGAGATGAACCCTGAGACTATGGACTCTGGGAATCAAACTGAGGCTGTTAAAGGGGAGTGGGGTGGGGGAGTTGAGTGAGCCCAATGATGGTTATTAAGAAGGGCTTGCATTGCATGGAGCCCTGGATGTTATACACAAACAACGAATCACAGAACACTACATCAAAAACTAATGAGGCTATGGTGACTACCATAGCATAATTTAAAAAAATGAAAAGAAAAAGAAATGCTGGGATAGAAAAATAAATAAGTAGATAAAAGTATTCCAAAATTTGCATAAAATATGACATCAAACCAAAAACTTTAAATATACTTTGTTAAACAATCAGTACTTTGTAGACCTAAACTCATTTTTTCAAACAGTTGCATACTACATTGTTTTACAGGGGTGAAAATTTACTTCCCTATTGAAGGATACTGAGACTATCTCCAACTTTTTTATATGAAATTAATGCTATAATAAATATCCTTAACATATGTCATATTTTATATATATAAAATGTATAATAAATGTCCTTAGAATGTGTGTGTGTGTTTATGTTTACCCAAGTCATGTTTTCCTATAGGATCTAGTCCTGGCAATGAAGCTCTTGGCATAAAGAGACAGAATATTTAAAGTTTTTGAAACAAAATGCTAAATCACTCTTCAGAAAGGATTTACCAATTTTATTTAACAACATTATATAAGAATGCCCTTTTCCTCACATTTGCTAACTTTGGTTGTTAATTTTTAAATAAAGTATTTATCACTATGACTGCAAAAATGGTATCTCATTATTTAAATTTTTCTGATTAGCACCCAAATTGAAATAGTCTTACTAAAAACCATAAAATTTGTTAATCATGAATGTTAGCTCCAACTAGAATTTGTTTTATAGGAAAATAATTATTACCTACTATTTAAATATTGCTATAGGCTTACCCATCAGATTCTTCATTTTCCGTAATAGGACATGGGTTGTTATCAGTTTTTCCACTCCCTATTGGATGCATTAGTCCAGCAGCAGCAGAAGCATATATGCTTTCCAATACTGCCATTTCATCATTTTGGTGCTTCTCCGTTTCTTCAATCTTTAATGGAAGTTTGATACAAAGGATAATCGTTACTAGTTTATTCATTAAAAAGAACTTTTTATTCATTAATTATACATGTTTTAAAGATTTTATTTATTTATTCATCAGAGAGAGAGAGAGCACAAGCAGGAGGAGGTGCCAGCAGAGGGAGAAGGAGGCTCCCTACTGAGCAGGGAGCCCAGTGCAGGACCCCATCCCAAGACCCTGGGATCATGACCCAAGCCAAAGTTGGCTCTTAACCAACTGAGGCACCCAGACATCCCAGAACTTTTTTCAATAATTATATCATTTGACTCTTAGTTTGTCATAATTTTAATTCACAAAAATATTTTGTGGTTATCATTACAAGTAAGTGCAATTTTTATAAATTCTGCTTCATTTCTATTTCAATAAAGAGAGAGGAATTGGGACGCATGGGTACCTCCGTGGATAAGTATCTGCCTTCAGTTCAGGTCATGATCGAGTCCAGACCTGCTTCTCCTTCTGCCAGTACCTCCCCCTGCTTGTGTGCACCTGCTCTCTCACTCTCTCCCTCCCTCTCACTCTCTCTCTGACAAATAAATAAAATCTTTAAAATAACTAACTAAATAAATAAAATTAAAATAGCAGAATTTTCCAAATTTTCAAAAAGGGCTTTCTTAATTTTGTATTCACATCCATGCTTTTCTACCTAACATTCCCCACCCTACCCTATCTGATCAGCAGATAAAAAGAAATAAAAAGACAAAGACATAAAATTTGTGGTCTTCTGTCTTTACCATCTGGATTTTGCATAAACAGTTAGATTTAAAGGCTGTGACATTGTGGTGCTCTAGAAACAAACAGGAAGCTTTCCTCTTTTTGGACCGAGCTATTCTTTCCCCACTGTCTCTTATAATCCTTTTTCCATTTGGTCCCTAGGGTTACCAGTAAAGTGACAGTGTTCATTAAAATATATGATCCAAAGTCCACCACAACACACCAAAAAAAAAAACCAAAAAAAAAAAACCCAGAGTGAATCTGCTCTTAGTGCAGAATTTTGGGAACTGAGTAATGCTCCCCAAATTCCACATTCAGTAACCATAAAATTTTATCGCTAGAGGGTATAAAAGTAATTATCAACTTTAATCCCATTTTCTACTGATGATGGGAGTAAAACCAAAAAAGGTTAATGATTTGTCCAAAGTTCCTAAAGTGGCATTACCTAGCATTTTATGGCACCAAAAGAGATGATATAATTCTTTAATGCCAAATCAGATAAGTTACCAAATTCATTAAATTAACCAGATACATTAAGAGTGTGACATTGGCACAGTAATTTAATACCTTAATTGGGGATGAGGTGCTTAGCTACTTTTTCTGTTAAAGAAGGATATCCCTATATTTTTGTCTATTTTTTAAAATTCAATTCACCTCAAAAGTCAGTTTTCTCCCTTCCAGTTAAATACTGAAGGTTTGTTGAAGGTTTATGCTACCTACATTATAAAAATCATACATGTCAAAATGGACCATACTTTATAAAACATAATATGAAGGTTTGGCTCAACAGAAATGTGTGAAAATGGTGATTAAAAAGAAAAAAATGTGGAGGGGGCACCTGGGTGGCTCAGTCAATTGGGCCTCTGACTCTTGATTATGGCTTAGGTCATGATCTTGGGGTCATGGGATAGAGTCCTGCATCAGGCTCTATTCTCAGTAGGAAGTCTGCTTCTCTCTCTCCCTCTCTCTCCTTTTGCCCCTCCCCCTGCTCATGCTCTCTCTCTAAATAAATAAATAAATCTTAAAAAAGAGTCTGTTTAGGGGCACATGGGTGGCTCAGTCTGTTAAGCGGCTGCCTTTGGCTTAGGTCATGATCCCAGCGGTCCTGGAATCGAGCCTCACATCGGGCTCCCTGCTCAGAAGAGAGCCGGTCTCTCCCTCTTCCTCTGCCTGCTGCTCTGCCTACTTGTGGTCTCTTTCTATCTCTCTGTCAAATAATTAAATTTTTAAAAAAGCTTTAAAAAAAAAGAATCTGTTTTAAAAACATATGGAGAAAAAAAGTGATCATACAAATATTTGTTATTAAAAATATCTCAAAGTGATCGTGTTGGAATTCTGAGTTCCAAGAGTGAGTGAAGCAGAGAAGATTGCACATACTGAAACAATAAAAAGAAGCAATAAATAGATTGGTTTAGCTGAAATATTTGTTTATATCCTCTTTCTTGTCCTTGTTTCTTTCCCATTTNCCTAGGGTTTTCATTTTTATCTATTGGCTTAAATATAAATTGCACATACTGAAACAATAAAAAGAAGCAATAAATAGATTGGTTTAGCTGAAATATTTGTTTATATCCTCTTTCTTGTCCTTGTTTCTTTCCCATTTTATTGTTGATGTAAGTGCAATTTATATTTAAGCCAATAGATAAAAATGAAAACCCTAGAAATGGGACACCTGGGTGGCTCAGTGGTTAAGCTTCTGCCTTTGGCTCAGGCCATGATCCCAGGGTCCTGGGATGGAGCTCCAGGTCAGGTTCCCTGCTCAGGAGAGTCTGCTTCTCCCTTTCTCTCTCCCTCTGCCTCTCCTCAACTCATGCTCTCACACGCACACACATGCTCTCTCTCTCAAATAAGTTAATCTTAAGAAAAAATCTAGAAATTATTATATATTTTTTAAAAATGTATTTATTTGGTAAAGAGATCATAAGGAGGAAGGGCAGAGGGAGAAGGAGAGAGAAACTAAAGCAGACTCCACGCTGAGCTAAGTGCCCAAGGCCGGGCTTGATCTCACGACCCTGAGATCACAACCCACGCCAGAAACAAGAATCGGATGCTTGACTGTGCCACCTGGGCGCCCCAAGATAACTGCATTTTTTAAAGCAATTTTCTTTACAGTTTTTGGTTCATGAAGTCACAAGGTACAGAGATAAATTAGTTTCCCAGTTCGTATGCCACTTGGCAGACTGAAAGAGAAACTTAAGGAAAACAAATCATAAGAATGTTTTTCCTGCACTCTACCATTTAGACAGCAGAAATAATCTATTTCTGAACACAATTACATATTTAGACAACCCCATATGATACATGAACCTTTTCATAACTGGAAAATCAATATGGCTCAGGTCATTGATAAAGAAAAGAACAAAAGAGCAGCTCAAAGTGAATCTCTACCTCTTTTTGAAGTTCAACGTTTCTCTGTTCCAAAGACAGGAACTCTATCTGCAACGTGCCTACCTCATTCTTAAACTTTTTCACATCTTGCTATGAATCTTCCTCTAGATACACTTCTGATGTTCTGTAACTACATGCTGGAGAACTCCCATTTTCTAATTCGGGATCCATACTTCTATAGTTATTAGTACTGTCATTGCTGCATATAATGGCTTCTAGAATAAGTCTTTTGTTTTCTTCTAAGCGTTTGTAACAGCAGAAATAGTTTGCCTTTTTATTTGACTCTTTCGTCTCATCTCACTGAGGCAGGCAAGCCAAGAATCAAAACGGCTTCCTGGATTACTAGACTGAGGTATACACCCAATGTCTAATTTACAATCAGGGCTAGATTGGTTTATACTTTTTGCCATTTGCATGTCAAACTCTTGGTCTTCTTTCACTTCAAATGTAACCCATGGGTTCCTTACTTTTTTATTTTCTCTATCACTATCAAAACTCTCATTTTTGTTAAAAAAAATGCTCAAAGTCTGATTTGTTATCATTTTCAGAGTCTGATTTATTTTCACTTAAGGAAAGATCAGAAGATGACCGGCAACTATGATCTGAGGATGAATGAGAAAGAACGACATTTTCGAGTCTAGACTCTTTCTGTTCAGGTAATGCCTGAAGTATGACAAAGACAGGCAATGCAAATGCATCTTTTTTCTCACAATCAAATCTATCATTTGTCAAATTAGAAGGTATTTCCGTTAAGTTTGCTCCTTCTTTAAAGGGACCATATAGTGACTCTTCCTTAGGATAAGCAGTAATTTTGTTTTTTTCACAAATTTCACTTCTGCTTTAACTATCTGGTGATGAGTTTTAACTTATTTTTCCACTCTAATTTTCTTGTTTGGTCCACATGTCCTCATACTTTTGAACAGAGGGATGTTCTGAGTATAAAAATATATCATCCTCTCTATCACATTCCTTATTCATTCCTGGTTCTTGAGCCATTTTTGACAGATACAAAAGTTAAATTGCTGTGTTTGATTTTCAGATGTCCTTTCTGTCAGCATACATGTTTGTAAAATAACTTTATCCTTAAGTAATCAAGTATGGACAAAGAAAAAATTAGAAAATAATTAAAATTTAACTGTTAAATTTCTTAATCTATGTTAAGCTGCTCCCAAGTCACTGGATTGTAACTAAGAAGCAAAAAATAACTTGCCCTAGCCTGAAACAGAAGAAAAACACAAATCCATAAACTTAACTTTGTCAGTTTTTTTAAGCTAAACAATTCATTACATGTTATATCTACCAAAAAATGAATTAGATGATTTTCAATGTTACAAACTTAAAAACATTTTATCTTGCCATACCTTAAACAGTGAGCCCCAATAGTGCATTTGAAGATTTTTTTAAAGATTAATGACTAAAGAATAGGCAAACTTATTATTAGGAGCCAAAATCAATAAACATCAATCAGAAAGAAAAATAAATTCCTAAATTTTAATTCAAATTATATACTGTGATAGTGTTATACATCACTATAAATTATCTGCCTGCATCTAGCAATTGTAACGTCCACTGAGAGTGGATAAGAAAAATGTTAATAATATTTACAGATTCCCTATACTGAAATGAAGTAACTGAAAAAGTGCCTGTTTATTACCCAACTACAAAGGTCCCATCCTGGAAGGTGTGATTCTACAATAGGCAATTGTGTTGATTTTATGACCCTACTCTCTGAAGTCGACTACACAGAGATCACAAGGCAAAATAAATCTTTAATCTTTGCATTAGTGACTGGCAATACAGAACTCACATTTTGAACCACTGAGAACTGCACATTAAGAACCACCAAGAACCACTCCTTCTACATGAGTCTAAGTCAGTAGTCATCATTGTTATACTGCTCATAATTTCAACTGCTTAAACATATGGTTCAGTATTTGATGTTACCTTTTTAGCATGTGAAAACTTACAAAAATGGAAGAAGCAAACAATATTCAGGAAATTTTTTGGTCCAATTCCAAGGATAAAGTTTAACTATAAGCTACTATAAATTCTAACAATATTTTAAATTTGGTAACTTGTAAAATTTTACAAAAACTAAATATTAAATTATAATCTATCAACTTCAATATGTTCTGTTCAGAAGATAATTTCAATTGAACTATGTTACATTCTTAAAGCAGGGAAAACAATATAAAATTGGAAATTTAAATTTAAATTTGTATATACCTGCAGGTGTTTATTTTCACTTTCACTAAGACTTTCTTCCTCTTCTTCTGTTGTCATTTCTAAGTCTAGTTCTGCTGAAAAATCTATATGTTTAATTAAAATGGACAAATTAGAATGGTTAGATAAAAGCTATAACCTTCGTAAAAATAGAAAACAACATCTTATCAATTAAGAGTTTAAATTAACCTTAATCTTTAGCTGAATATTTACTTTAAGAAACACTTTTCATTATCAAAAACGTCAACAAACCATTTGGGAAATACTAAATGTCACTAGGTTAAAGGCATACAAACACCTCAAAGACTCATTCACAAATTCACCCACCTAACACCAACGAACAAAACAATCAGAAACAAAATTTTAAAATGCAGCAGAAAGATATAAAATCACAACAGACTATTCTTTACCTTGTTACAGTACTTCTTAAACAACACCCTAAGCTTCAACTACAACATTATTCATGGTTTCCAAAATTACTAGTATTTTTTATGCCGTTATCAGTGTACAACCTTCCTACGGGTGTATTTACCTGATGAGTGTAAACATTCCTAAAATGTTTTTCTCTACTACTTGCCAAATTTCATCACATCTTATAGGACACAGACTGCTACATAAAGTCATCCTTGATTATGGCTACCCTTCCCTAGATAAACAGATCTCTTTCTTTGGGGCTATGTTAGTACCATACAGATTTTTCTAGTGTATCTTCACCACCTGAACTGTAAGTTACATATATATATATACACACACACATATCTATATATGTGTGTGTGTGTGTGTATATATATATATATACACACATATATTTCTTTTGTTACTAGACTGTATGGGACAATCTCTCTCTCTTTTTTAAGAGAGAGAGAGGGGGAAGGAGAAGAGGGAGAGAGAATTTTGACCAGGCTCCACACAACAGCACTGAGCCCCACATGGGGCTTGATCTCACAACTCTGAGGTCATGAACTGAGCCAAAATCAAGAGTTTGACAGTTAACCGACTGAGCCCCCCCCAGGGGTCCCTGTATGGGACAATCTCATAAATCATCTCTGTGTAAACACTCTCTATTTTACTCAGTAATTATTTACTGAGTTTCCAGTAAGTGCTAGGCACCCAGGTTTAAAGAAGCATGTAGATAAAAGGTGTCAGGAATGGATTTTCTAGAGATAATGCCTGAACTGAGACAGCAACACTGAGGTCAGACAGATTCAAAGGGGTTATAGGGCGGAAAATGGGGGGAATATACAAGCCTGTAGTAAGACAAGGAAGAGAAACACACAACAGGGTAAATATCTGTCTAAAATACAGGAATCAAAGAGGAAGACACCAAAAGCAGTTCAGAATGCCAGAGAAAAGGGCAGACAGTAGAAAGGGTTGGAGAGCTTAGCAGAACTCAAAATTATGAAAGCTTTATATGTAATTTTAAGATACCTGGACACAAACATATTTTCAACAATGGTTCACAGTCATATTTGCATTTGAGACAGATCCCTCTAAATGCTGTGGAGAGGGATGAATTTGAGGGGCATTGTAATAAAAGGTGGGAGATGAATGAGAAGGCACTGATGCAAAATAAAGATGAAGCACACATGAACTGACAGAATCGTTCTAGAAATATTGAGGATATAAAATTATCAGGGCCAGTACAGAATAAATCTGTACTAAATGAATAAACACACAATCTTGTGTACCTAGCAACCAACTTTGCTCATTACTTTATAAAAGGCATCAAGTGGGAATTATTCTACATGAACTGTTTTAAGTATTTATTTTATAATTTTTCTGTTCCATATCTTCCTGTGTTACAGGAACCTGTGGGTGCTTTGTTTCAAAAGCCCTGCTTCTTGGATCCACCAAGCTCACGAGGAAGTAACAGGAACAAGTCACTTGTATAGGTAAATAACTTTGAATTTATTGTCTGCATTCACTAGTCTAGGAGACAATTGAAAATCTTTTGAAAAATATACTGTTAATTCTACAAGTAAAGAAAGAACATAAAACTACAGGGGTGAAAAAAATACTGTACAATTTATTAGTACCAATCTGAACATATGACTGATAAAAGCCACTGAGTTAACTGGTACATTAAGTAGAGTACACATTAGATATGGTTAATCAACAGACTGAGTATATCAGGAGAATATTATTTTTAAATGATATAGTACTCCTTAAAACCAATATTCCACCTATTCATCAAAATTAATGAAGGGGGGGGCGCCTGGGTGCCTCAGTCAGTTAAGCGACTGCCTTCAGCTCAGGTCATGATCCCAGGGTCCTGGGATGGAGTCCTGCATCAGGCTCCCAGGTCAGTGGGGAGTCTGCTTCTCCCTCTGCCCCTCCTCCCACTTTTTCTCTCAATCTCTCTCACTCTCTCAAATAAATAAAATCTTTTAATAATAATAATAATAATAAAGGGGCATCTGGGTGGCTCAGTGAGGTAAGTTGTCTACTCTTGATTTCAGCTCAGGTCATGATCTCAGGGTTGTGAGATCGAGCCCCACATCAGACCCCATGCTAAGAATGAAGCCTGCTGCTTGGGGTTCTCTCCCTCCCTCTCCTTCTGCCTTCCCTCCCTCGTTCCCCATTTTCTTGCTCTCTAAAAAGATAAAATAAAAATAATAAAACAAGGAGATAGACTCTGCATACATAGTTGAGAAGACGGTACTATATAGTAAATTCTCAATGATTCCCATTATTGCTGGGAAAGCCAACTCTAAAATATAGTCATACAGAATATAGGAAATATTTTAATATTTGGTTTGGGAAGCAGCTTTTTCTAGTTACACTGAATATAATTTGACCAATACTTGTGAATTTAAAGCTATAAAAATAAAGCTAAGAAACTGTGTTTTCAATAAGCAATCTTTAGACCTCTACCTAGTATTCCCAGCTGGGCACAAACTTCTAAATATAATCCTGCTACCCACTCTCAAGTGAATATTAAAAAATAGCCTAAAAGAAATTACTTTCTCCTAATTCTTTTTTTTTTTTTTTTAAGATTTTATTTATTAGGCGCCTGGGTGGCTCAGTTGGTTGAGCAACTGCCTTTGGCTCACGTCATGATCCCAGACTTCTAGGATCGAGTCCCGCATCGGGCTCCCAGCTCCTTGGGGAGTCTGCTTCTCCCTCGGACCTTCTCCTCTCTCATGCTCTCTCTCACTCATTCTCCCTCAAATAAATAAATAAAATCTTAAAAAAAAAAAAAAGATTTTATTTATTTATTTATTTGACAGACAGAGATCACAAGTAGGCTGAGAGGCAGGCAGAGAGAGAGAGGAGGAAGCAGGCTCCCAGTTGAGCAGAGAGCCCGATACGGGGCTCAATCCCAGGACTCTGAGATCATGACCTGAGCCGAAAGCAGAGGTTTTAATCCACTGAGCCACCCAGGCGCCCAACTTTCTCCTAATTCTTATTCCTATGTTGCTTTGGTTAGAAGAAGAATGCAAATGTCCTGCTAAAAGAGACTGTTTGGTTGTAGGTTGCATAAAAGGAGTAAACACAAAGTAAATTTTGTCACAAAATTATTTTTGAAAAATCAGAACAATGGTGAGGTCATGGAGAGGTTGAATTCTCTATGCTTCTTCACTACCTTCTTTGTGCTCTCTGTTTCCTGGTAGCTGCGATTCGCACACATGAAGGAGTTTAGAATTTTCTAACATAAACACAGCTCCAATATTATTAATCCTTTTTTAAAAATTTTAAATATTTTATTTATTTATTTGACAGAGAGAGAGATCACGAGTAGGCAGAGAGGCAGGCAGAGAGAGAGGGAAGAAGCAGGCTCCCTGCTGAGCAGAGAGCCCGATGTAGGGCTCGATCCCAGGACCCTGAGATCATGACCCGAGCCGAAGGCAGAGGCCCTAACCCACTGAGCCACCCAGGCGCCCCTTCTTAATCCTTTTTTTAATCTATTAAGGGCATCTGTTTAAACTCTGTGGATGCCGACCACTTTTTGGTCACCGACTGTAATAGAGACGGGCGTTTATCATCAACTTTCAAATCCCTGGATCTTTGACAAATTGCACTATTTTGGTCCAAACCAGTAGACTTCTAATTGGACAAATCTAAAAAGCAAAGTTGATTTATTAGAATGTAAATAATAATACAAACTTGACTAATTTGTATAAATTCTTTTGTCAGAGAAGCAGTCCCATGTTCTACTCTTCTCTCAGACGTATTACTACTCATTCATAGCTTATTGTATTTTACATGTCCTATACTTGCCATTCACACAGATGAATTTAGCTGCCTTTCATTTTTTGTATTCTCTAGTATTACATAATTTAATTTACTCACCATGCTCTATTACATATTCAGTATTCCATAAGAGTTTTTGTTCAATAATGACTAAGATCTACCAGGTTATAAAATTGTGGGTAATAAAATTTATTTCTAACCATTTATTTTATGTTTAAAGATTTTATTTATTTATTTGACAGAGACCACAGGTAGGCAGAGAAGCAGGCAGAGAAAGAATGGGAAGCAGGCTCCCCGCTGAGCAGAGAGCCTGATGCAGGGCTCCATCCCAGGACCCTGGGATTATGACCTGAGCCGAAGGCAGAGGCTTTAACCCACTGAGCCACCCAGGTGCCCCTTTATTTTATGTTTAAATACATACTATCTATTCCAAAGACATGCATTTTAAAAAAGTTTTAATGAATGGTACTACTTAAACTAAAATGAGATTGTCTTTCCTCAATACACCAATATCTTCAGAAATCTTTAAGTCTTAGACCAACTAAGTTTATATGAGAAAAGAAAGACTTGGGGAATGTAATCATTTCCATGTAAAGACAGGTCAAGTATCGGGCCACATTAGATCCAAAAACTACAGTGCCATGAAACAGAAAATGAATATATAATAAAAATATTTTCCTTTTTTTAAACCAAGATTGTCTGATTTATACCTCTTAAGTGAAGGTAAAAAGCAAGAAATGCAGGAATGAAACCTTAATGCCCATTTCATCAAAAGGGCCCCGTTATCACTTTGAATCCATGAATCCTGTACATGGTTTAAAACAGTTCTCCCATGTCATCTGAGAATCCACAGAGTTCCAGGATCCATCCATTCACAGGATCCAAGAGGTCAAAACTATTTTCACAACAATGATAAATGATATTTGACATTTTCACTCATTCCCTTCTTTAGTGTATGCTGAAGTTTTCTGAACATACGATACATGATAGTATCACAACTTGCATGATTAATGGATCATTAATCTAATGATTAACAAAGTATGATCGTATTTGCTTCTTTATAAATGTCTGTTTTAATTTCTACTATTGTAAATATCAACAGATGGAACGCTCTTAAACAGAAGTTCTTTGGAATTCCCAATACATTTTTAAAAGTATACAAGGACCCTCAGGCCAATGAGTTTCAGAATTTCTGTTGTAAAGGATTATGTCTACCAAATACTAAGATATAACTACTTACTTCCCGCATTTCCAATAATCAAACACACCACACACACACACACACACACACACACACACACACACACAAATCTGCTAATCAGAACATCTGTCTGGCTTAAGATGATGAACATCGACACTAAGATGAAATAAACTTAAAACACAATTCACATGTTAGCAAATGAAGCTAGACTCTAAGTAAAGTTCAGAATTCGGATAAACATTATGAACCAGAAAAAGGTTAGAGTCTAATAACTAACCTCTGGGAAGCCCTAGGAATTAAAGGGGTTCCAAACTGGGAACATTAGGAATTTAAAACATAAAAGTAGAAACTTGAGCTAAAGCTTACATTTTTAAAATCTCTTCTTCTTACACTTGTAAATAACTTTTGTTCAAACATGGATATCAGGAATAACATCTACCTTATTAATATCAAATACTTCACTTAAAATTGCCCCCCCCAAAAAAGGAATTCAGAATAAAAAGACTGTGAGCATTTCAAATATTTTTGTTGTACTACCTTCCACAGTTAAATTTCTATTGTAAAATTTACCTGATTCGGATGTTTCTTTTTCCTCCATTTCTCCTGGTTTATTAGGAAGAGAATGGTTTACTTCAACACCAGGCTGAATGGATATTGAAAGAACACAATTAAGACAATGTACATTTCATACAATCTGTAGTTAAAAATTCAAAATAAAAGTATAAGTTTTACCTTCAAGTAAGAATATTTTCCTGGAGAATCTAAAAAGCAAAAGGGACATATACCTAATTATATGTAAATATGAGAGCCAACTAAACATTTATGCAGTTGGTACTAAGCTGAATCCTTGTGCCTGGTTCTGATTACATTAGGTTTTGGTGTTCTGTTTCTGGAGACAGGAAGGTAGGTTGGGAAGAAAACCAATTTCTAATGAGAGAACAAATCATGACCCTGAGTGGACAAACGAGAAAGCCAATGGTAGAATGCTACATCACATCCTTAGGGCAGTACAACAGAATCATTTATACCATTAGACTGTAAGTATTTACCATGTTCTTCAATTTCTCCCATAATTTAGGCAGTACACACTTCTGATGATAGTTCAACTGAATACATAATTGAGTTATCATCAGAGAAAGTGTTATGAATTGGTCAGCTTGGATATACACTTTTAGGATAATACTTACTGAAAGTACTCATTTTAATCCATACCCATGTGGGCTACTGCTATGCCTACATTTGTTGTATCCTCTAGTTTAGCCATCTTAAAGTTTCTTGATCCGCTCACTCAAGAAGGTATATAAAACACATCTAAGAAATAATGTAGAATAAGCTTTCACTATGGAACTATGACTACCAAAATGGGGGAAAAAATGTATTTAAATGACACAGAACTCTTAGGTACTGAAAATCCTTTGTATTTCAGGATCAGTGTCACACTTACTGATAATAACAATTTTGGCATTTAGGGAACCAACCCTAAAATTTCTTTTGTTTCCAAAACTACTGTGATTTGGTAGATCTTGTCTTTTTTTCTTTTTTAAAGATTTTATTTATTTATTTGTCAGAGAGAGAGCCCAAACGCAGGCAGAGTGGCAGACAGAGGCAGAGAGAGAAGCAGGCTCCCCGCTGAGCAAGGAGCCCCATGGGGACAGGATCCCAGGATCCTAGGATCATGACTTAAGCCAAAGGCAGCAGCATAACCAACTGAGCCACCCAGTCGACTCAAGATGATGTCAGACTTTAAACGGTTTTTGGAATCAGCGATAGTACCAATAAATTACCTATCTTTAAAAAAGAAAAAAAAATAAAAAGCCGTAGCTTCCGAATCTCATTTAAATAATGAATACCAATGCAACACATAACTTTGATGTCCAGTAGACGTGAGGAGGATGAATACGTTGCTATGATTGACCCCATGTCTAGCACTCCATCTGCTTTCAGTATTCTCTGTAGAGCTGCTGTGATTTAATTTTTTCTAGTGCAAATACCCTCGAGCCATCTCAAGTGAATTCCTGGAGTTTCCTCGTCAACTCCAAAATTTCCCAGTTAACGTGCCTTTCTTTCTTCGCTCGTTCCCATCACTATCCCTCTTCTTCATAAGTAATTTCTGGGGGCGCCAGGATGGAGCAGCGGATTGGGCATCCAGCTGTTGATTTCAGCTCAGGTCATGATGGCACGGTCCTGAGATAGAGCCCCACATCAGGCTCCAACTCAGAAGGGAATCAGCTTGAGGCAAATCTCTCCTTCTCCCTTTGCCCCTCTCCCTAATCACACACTGTCTCTCTCATTCTCTCTCCCTAAAACAAATAAAGAAATCCTTTAAAAAAGAGTTATTTCTGGATCTATGGTCTTGATTGTTCTGCTTTTACACCCCTTTTATTAGGGATTGTCTCCACCACTTCTTTCCTCTTTATTTAGCACTAGTATCTCACATCTATAACCTTTCTTTCTGCATCTCCACGCTCCCCTCTAGCTAAAAACATGCTCACAATAAAAAACAAAATAATGCTTTCCCTTCATCCTATGGTGTCTTGAAGTATCCAGGGCCTTTCCAGGTGTCTCTATGTGGAAGTCTACACCCTTGCTACAGAGCACATGACCCAAAGACCATTGACATTCGCATCACCTGACAGGTCAGAATGCAGAACCCCAGACCTGCTGCTCACAATGTGCATTTTTAACAAGGTCTCTGATGATTCAGTAAAATGGGAGAAATTCTGGTCTATACTGAGTCTGCTGCCACATTCCGTTACTTTAATTTAACCCTCTAGAAGCAAGCCTCACGTTCATCACTATCAATTCTTCAAAACTGGAACTGTCGTAAAAGTAATAAACTTTCTAATGGACTTTTTATCACGGTTAAGGCTTCCTTGATTTCCCCTGAACTGACCCTGCTCTCTTCTTCCTTCCTTCCAATTCTCTTACATTGTACTCAATGATACTATTTATGAAGTACCACCATATGCATGCCATTAAGACACACATTCTTATAGCTGACTAGATCATAGCTCTGCATAATCAATGACATCCTTAATGTCTTCCCAATAGTGAGGAAAGCAGTAAGAGGGGGAAAATTTTGGTATCCTACTCTGACAGGTTTTGGTACCGGAAGCTCACCTGATACACTTCTGGCATTTAAATAGTCTGCTATTCCTTTTAAAAGAATTGAGCTAAGGCTTATATGTTTCAAAAGCTCTTTTTCTTAGGCTTGTAAATATCGTTTGTTCAAACATGGATATCAGCAATAACATCTACCTTATTTATGTCAGAACGTTCACTGAAGCTTGCCCAAAATAACTAAATAAATAAATAAAAGAAAAAGACTTCAGAATAAGAAGACTGTGAGCATTTCAAATATTTTACTGGACTTCTTTACACTGTTAAATTTGTATTGTAAAATTTACCTGACTGGGATGCTTGAATTTCCTCCACTTCTCTGGGTTGATTAGGAATAAACTCTTTCCCCTCTACAGCAGGCTAAATGAGTATTGAAACAATATGATTAAGACATAATGAACATTTCAAGCAATCTGTAGTTAAAACCTCAAAATAAAAATGTAAGTTTTACCTTCAAGTAAGAATATTTTCCCGGAGAATCTAAAAAGCAAAAGGGTCATATAGTTAACTCCATGTACATATAGAGGCCAACAAACACTCATGCACTTAGGACTAAGCTGAATCCTCATGCCTGGCTCAGATTACAAATGGGTTTTGAGGTTGTTTCTGCAGACAGAAAAGTGGGTTGAGCAGAAGAGCAATTTCTAATGAGAGGAACAAATCGTGACCCTGAGCAGACAAACGTGAAAGCCAATGGTAGAATGCTACACCACATCCTTAAGGCAATATAGCAGAATCATTTATACCATTAGACTCTAAGTACGTATGACCGTCTTCCATTTGTCCTGTAATGTAGGAGTACATAGTGCTGATGATAGGTCAACTGAATGCATACTTGAGTTTTCATCAAACAAAGCCTTATGAACTGATCAGCTTGGATATATATTTGTAGGATCACAGTTACTAAAAGTACTCATTTTTGTCAATACCCACATGTGCTACCGGTATGCCTACATTCCTGTATCTACTAGTTTAGCCACCTTAAAGTTTCTTCATCCACTTAGGCAAGAAGGTGTATAAAACACATCTAAGAAATAATGTACAATAGCTTTAAATATGGAAGTATGACTATGTATATGGAACAAAATCTATTTAATTGCCACAGAAATCTTAGGTACTGAAAATCTTTTGTCACTGCCATACTTATTGATTATAACAATTTTAGCCATCAGGGAACCAACCCTATAATTTCTTTTGATTCCAAACGTAGTTTGATTTGGTAGATCATGTCAGTCTTTCAAGGGTTTTTGGAAATAGCTATCATATCCAAAAATTACCTATCTTAAAAAAAAGAAAGCCATAGCTCCTGTATCTCACTTGAGTAATGAAGATCGACATAACCTGTATCTTTGATGCCCAAAAGACCTGAGGAGGATGAATACGTGGCTATGATTGACCCCATGTCTAGCACTCCATCTGCTTTCAGTATTCTTTGTGGAGCTGCTGTGATTTAATCTGTTCTAGTGCAAATACCCTCACGCCATCTCAAGTGAATTCTCTTGAGTTTCCTCCTCAACTCCAAAACTTCTCAGCTAACGTGCCTTTCCCTTTTCCCTTGTTCCTGTCCCTATCCCCCTTCTTCAAAGTAATTCCTGGGGGCGCCTGGATGGAGCAACAGATTGGGCATCCGGCTCTTGATTTCGGCTCACGTCACAATGGCACGGTCCTCACAAAGAGCCACGCATCCGGCTCCGGGTCAGAAGCGAGTCTGCTTAAGGATTCTCTCTCCCTCTCCCTTTGCCCCTCGCCCTGATCACTCACTGTGTCTCACATTCCCTCTCCCTAAAACAAATAAAGAAAAATATACTTACAACAGAGTTATGCTGGATCTATGGTCTTGATTGTTCTGCTTTACACCCCTTTTATTAGGGATTGTCTCCACCACTTCTTTCCTCTTTATTTAGCACTAGTATCTCACAACTATAACCTCTCTTTCTGCATCTCCACGCTCCCCTCTAGCTAAAAACATGCTCACAATAAAAAACAAAATAATGCTTTCCCTTCATCCTATGGGATCTTGAAGTATCCAGGGCCTTTCCAGGTGTCTCTATGTGGAAGTCTACACCCTTGCTACGGAGCACATGACCCAAGGACCTTTGACATTCGCATCACCTGACAGGTCAGAATGCAGAACCCCAGACCTGCTGCTCACAATGTGCATTTTTAACAAGGTCTCTGACGATTCACTAAAATGGGAGAAATTCTGGTCCACATTGAGTCTGCTGCCACATTCCTTTACCTTAAGCATCTAGACGCAGGCCTCACATTCGTCACTATCAATTCTTCAAAACTGGAAATGTCTTAAAAGTCGTAAGCTTTCTTTTACTTTTTTTAAAAAAGATTTTATTTAATTATTTGTCAGAGAGCGCGAGCGTGCACAAGCAGGCAGAGTGGCAGGCAGAGGCAGAGAGAGAAGCAGGCTCCCCGCTGAGCATGGAGCCCAATATGGGACTCGATCCCAGGATCCTGGATCATGACCTGAGCGGAAGGCAGACGCTTAACCAACTGAGCTACCCAAGCGTCCCAAAAAGTCATAAACCTTCTAATGGCCTTTTTATCACCGCTAAGGCTTCCTTGAATTCCCCCTAACTCACCCTGCTCTCTTCTTCCTTCCCGTCTCTTACTCGGCACTCAATGATACTATTTATGAAGTACCACCACTTTATATGCCATTAAGATACACACACTCATCGCTGACGAGAACATAGCTCTGCATCATCAGCCATGGCAGTCCTGAATGTCTTCACAACTGTGAGGAAAGCAGGAAGAGGGGGAAAATTTTGGTATGCTACTCTGACAGGTTTTGGTACCTGAAGCTCACTTGATATTATTTTGGCATTTCAAATAGTCTGCTCTACCTTTTAAAAGAATTGAGCTAAAGCTTATGTTTTTTAAAAGCCTTTTTCTTAGGCTTGTAAATAACTTTTATTCAAACATGGATATCAGCAATAACATCTATGTTATTTATGTCAGAACCTTCACTTAACCTTGCCAAAAGGAAAAGAAAGACTTCAGAAGAAGACTGTGAGCATTTCAAATATTTGACTCGACTTCTTTACACCGCTAAATTTGTATTGTAAAATTTACCTGATTGGGATGCTTGTATATCCTCCATTTCTCTGGGTTCATTAGGAACAAAACCTTTCCCCTCCACAGCAGGCTGAATGGGTATTGAAACAATATGATTAAGACATAATGAGCATTTCATGCAATCAGTAGTTAAAAATTCAAAATAAAAATGTAAGTTTTACCTTCAAGTAAGAACATTTTCCTGGAGAATCTAAAAAGCAAAAGAGACATATAGTTAATTATAGGTACATATGAAAGCCAACTAAACATTCATGCAGTTAGTACTAAGCTGAATCCTCATGCCTGGCTCAGATTACATTAGGTTTGGGTGTTCTGTTTCTGCAGACAGGAAAGTGGGTTGGGCAGAAAAGCAATTTCTACTGAGAGGAACAAATCATGACCCTGAGTGGACAAACGTGAAAGCCAGTGGTACAATGCTACATCACATCCTTGAAGCAGTACAGCAGAATCATTTATACCATTAGACTCTAAGTATTTACCACCTTCTTCAATTTGTCCTGTAATTTAGGCAGTCCACAGTTGTGATGATAGTTCAACTGAATGCATAATTGAGTTTTCATCAGAGAAAGCATTATGAACTGATCAGCTTTGATATACAGTTGTAGGATAACAGTTACTAAAAGTACTCATTTTTGTCCATACCCACGTGGGCTACTGGTATGCCTACATTCCTGTATCCACTAGTTTAGCCAGCTTAAAGTTTCTTGACCTACTCATGCAGAAAGGTACATAAAACACATCTAAGAAATAATGAACAATAAACTTTCAACATGGAAGTATGACTACCAAAATGGAAAAAAACCTATTTAATGGCCACAGAATTCCTAGGAACTGAAATACCATTGTATTTCAGAATTAGTGTCATATGTACTGATAATAAAAATTTTAGAAATTTTAGCATTTAGGGAACCAACCCTATAATTTCTTGTGTTTCCAAACATAGTTTGATTTCATAGATCATGTCAGTCTTTCAAGGGTTTTTGGAAACAGCTATCGTATGAAAAAATTACCTATCTTAAAAAAAGGGAGCCATAGCTTCTGTATCTCATTTGAATAACGAATACCGATGTAACCTGTATCTTTGATGTCCAATAGACATGAGGAGGATGAATACGTGGCTATGATTGACCCCATGTCTAGCACTCCATCTGCTTTCAGTATTGTGGAGCAGCTATGATTTAATCTGTTCTAGTACAAATACCTCACGCCATCCAAAGTGAATTCTCTTGAGTTTCCTCCACGACTCCAAAATTTACCAGCTAAGGTACCTTTCCCTTTTCCTTCATTCCCTTCACTATGCCCCTTCAAAAAGTAATTTCTGGGAGTGCCCGGATGGAAAAGCGGATTGAGCATCCGGCTCTTGATTTCAACTCAGGTCATGAGGGCAGAGTCCTCAGATTGAACACTGCATCGAGCTCCATGCTCAGAAGTGAGCCTGTTTGAGGAATCTCTCTCCCTCTGCCTTTGCCCCTCCCCCTGATCATTCTCTGTCTCTCTCATTCTTGCTCCCTAAAACAAATAAAGAAAATAAATCCTAATAAAAGACTTATTTGTGTATCTATGGTCTTGATTGCTCTGCTTTTACACCCTTTTTATTAGGGATTATCTCTACCACTTCTTTCCTATTTAGCACTAGTATCTTACATCTATAATCTCTCTTTCTGCATCTCCTTGCTCCCCTCTAGCTAAAAACATGCTCACAAATAAAACAAAATAATGTTTTCCTTGATCCTATGGTGTCTTGAAGTATCCAGTGGACTTTCCAGGTGTCTGTACGTGGAAGTCTACACCCTTGCTATGGAGCACATGACCCAGGACCTTTGACATTCGCATCACCTGACAGGTCAGAATGCAGGATCCCAGACCTGCTGCTCATAATGTTCATTTTATTTAAATTTTTTTAAAAGATTTTATTTCTTTCTTTGACAGAGAGAGATCACAAGTAGGCAGAGAGGCAGGCAGAGAGAGAGGGGGAAGCAGGCTCCCTGCTGAGCAGAGAGCCAGATGCGGGGCTCAATTCCAGGATCCTGAGATCATGACCTAAGCCCAAGACAGAGGCTTAACCCACTGAGCCACACACGCGCCCCTCACAATGTGCATTTTTAACAAGGTCTCCGATGATTCAGTAAAATTGGAGAAATTCTGGTCCATACTGAGTCGCGGCCACATTCCTTCACCTTAACTTCACCTTCTAGAAGCAACCTTCACGTTCGTCACTATCAATTCTTCAAAACTGGAAATGTCTTAAAAGTCATAAACTTTCCAATGGACTTTGAATCACGGCTAAAGCTTCCCTGATTCCCGTGAACTGACCTTGCTCTCTTTTTCCTTCCAATTCTCTACTTTGCACTCAAGGATACTATTTATGAAGTACCAACATTTTATAAGCCATTAAGACATACACACTTACTGCTGACTAGAGCATAGCTCTGAATAATCTGCCACGTCAGTCCTTATTGTCTTCCCAACCGAGAGGAAAGCAGGAAGAGGAGGAAAATTTTGGTACACTACTCTGACAGGTTTTGGTACCAGAAACTCACTTGATATTATTCCTGCATTTCAAATAGTCTGCTCCTCCTTTTAAAAGAATTGAGCTAAAGCTTACATTTTTCAAAAGCTCTTTTTCTTAGGCTTGTAAATATCTTTTGTTCTAACATGGTTATCAGCAATAACATTGACCTTATTTATGTCCAATCCTTCACTTAAACTTGGCCAAAAAAAAAAAATAATAATTCAGAAGAAGAAGACTGTGAGCATTTCAAATATTTAAATGTACTTCTTTCCATTGTTATATTTCTATTTTAAAAAACCTGATTTCGATGTTTGTTTTTCCTCCATTTGTCCTCCTTTCTTAGGAACAGAATCTTTCTCCTCGACAGTAGGCTGAAGAGGTATTGAAACAATATGATTAGTACATAATGTACATTTCATACAATCTGTAGTTGAAAATTCAAAATAAAAATATAAGTTTTACCTTCAAGAAAGAATATTTTTCCAGAGAGTCTAAAATGCAAAAGGGACATATAGTTAATTATGTGTACATATGAAAGCCAACTAAATATTCATGCAGTTAGTACTAAGATGAATCCTCATGCCTGGCTATGATTACATTAGGATTTCATTTTCTGTTTCTAGAGATAGGAAGGTGGGTTAGGACGGTGACAAGACAGAAATATGAACCCATTATAAGTATTGAACAAAAATACAAAATACACGCTCAACAGAACATGCAGTTAGGATTTCAAAAGTCAGATGATGTTTCAAAGGAGCATAAGTAATATAGAAGACTGCACGTATACCAATGTGAACATGCTGACTGATGGGGAGAAAAGCAACTTTTAATGAGAGGAAAAAATCGTGACCCTGAGCGGGCAAATATGAAAGCCAATGGTAGAATGCAACACCACCTTAATGCAGTACAGCAGAATCCTTTTTACCATTATACTACAAGATTTAACCATGTTCTTCCATTTTTGTCCTGTAATTTAGGCAGCCCACGTTTGTAATGATAGCTCAACTGAATGCATAACTGAGTTTTCATCAGAAACATTATGAATTGATTGGCTTGGATATACACTTGTAGGATAATGGTTAATAAAAATACTCATTTTGTCCATACCCATGTGGGCTACTGGTATGCCTACATTTCTTGTATCCTCTAGTTTAGCCATCTTAAAGTTTCTTGATCCACTCATGCAAGAAGGTATATAAAACACATCTAAGAAATAATGTACAATAAGCTTTCAATATGGAAATATGACTATCAAAATGGAAGAATTCTATTTAATTGCCTCAGAATACTTAGACACTGAAAATCTTTTGTATTTCAGAATCAGTATCATACTTACTGATACTAACAATTTTAGCATGTAGGGAATCAACCCTATGATTACTTTTGTTTCCAAAAGTAGTTTGATTTGGTAGACAATGTCAGTTTTTAAAGGGCTTTTGGAATCAGCGATAGTACCAATAAATTACCTATGTTAAAAAAAAGTAAAAAGCTATAGCTTCCGTATCTCATTTAAATAATGAGTACCGATCTAACATCTATCTTTGATGTCCAGTAGACCTGAGGAGGATGAATACGTGGCTATGATTGACCCTATGTCTAGCACTCCATCTGCTTTCAGTATTCTCTGTGGTGCTGCTGTGATTTTATCTGTTCTAGTGCAAATACCCTCAAGCCATCTCAAGTGAATTCTCTTGAGTTTCCTCCTCAACTCCAAAACTTCTCAGCTAATGTGCCTTTCTTTTTTCCCTCATTCCCGTCACTATCCCTCTTCTTCATAAGTAATTTCTGGGGGCGCCTGGCTGGAGCAGCGGCCATCCAGCTGTTGATTTCGGCTCACACCATGATGGCACGGTCCTGGGATTGAGCCCTGCATTGGGCTCTGGGCTCGAAGTGAGCCTGTTTGAGGCATCACTCTCCCTCTGCCTTTGCCCGTCGCCCTAATCACTCACTGTCTCTTTCATTCTCTCTCCCTAAAATAAAGAAAGAAATCCTTAAAACAGAGTTATTTCTGGATCGATGGTCTTGATTGTTCTGCTTTTACACCCCTTTTATTAGGGTTTATCTTCACCACTTCTTTCCTCTTTATTTAGCACTAGTATCTCACAACTATAACCTCTCTTTCTGCATCTCCTCACTCCCCTCTAGCTAAAAACACGCTCACAAATAAAAACAAAATAATGCTTTTCCTTGATCCCATGGTGTCCTGAACTATCCAGTGGCACTTCCAGATTTCTCTATAGAAATGCCTTGCTTCAGAGCACATGACACAGGGACCACAGACATTGGCATCACCTGAGAGGTCAGAATACAGAATCCCAGACCTGCTGTTCACAATCCGCATTTTTAGCAATGTTTCCAATGATTTACTAAAGTTGGAGAAATTCTAGTCCATACTGTGTCTGCTACCACATTCCTTTACCTTAACTTAACCCTCTAGAAGCAAGCCTCATGTTCGTCACTATCAATTCTTCAAAACTGGAAATGTCTTAAAAGTCATAAGCTTTCTAATGGACTTTTTATCACGGCTAAAGTTTCCTTGATTTCCCCCGCACTGACCCTCCTCCCTTCTTCTTTACAATACTCTTACTTTGCACTCAATGACACTATTTATGAAGTACTACCATTTTTATGCCATTAAGGTACACACACTTATCGCTGACTAGAACATAGCTCTGCATGATCAACCCAGTCCTGAATGTCTTCCCAACCATGAGGAAAGCAGTAAGAGCAGGAAAATTTTGCTATCCTATTCTGACAGGTTTTGGTATTGGAAGCTCACCTGATATTATTCCTGCATTTCAAATAGTCTACTCCTCATTTAAAAGAATTATTTTGGTGGGGTTATGGACATTGGGGAGGGTATGTGCTACGGTGAGTGCTGTGCAGTGTGTAAACCTGAAGATTCACAGACCTGTACCTCTGCAGCTAATAATACATTATATGTTAATAAAAAATAAAAAATTTTAAAAAGAAAATTAGAAAAATAAAAAAATAAAGAATTATTTTATTTTACCACCTTCCACTCTAAGAGCTGCTTATTATCCTTCATTTATTCCCTATATTCTTTGACTTTCTCATCAGTCACTCTTTTGATCCTTTCCACTTATTTCCTGATGTTCCTTTGGTCTTAGAGTATCTTGAAATGGAACCACTAATTTAGCTCCTTTGTGGCACCCTCAGTTTCACCTGTTACTGACACCTGATAAGACTTCAACTTATCTCCTTTTCAATGTTTCTCCTCTCTATCTATTCAATAGGTGATTTTCTTCGGATATTTAAATATATCAGTATTCCCATTTTACATCAATATTTTATCAAGTGACTTTCTAATAAAATACAATTCTTACCTCCCACTTGTTCATTTAATGGACTTGTCCCTTTCTGATCTGCATTTCCAGATAAATGATCAATGTATGTCTCTGGAAGACTTTCAGAATTACTCTGTTAAAATGGACAACAAAAATGAGTTGTATAAAAATTTCCTAATCCTTTTCTAAGAAAATATCTGAATTTCCTACTTTAATAGTAATCAGACTCACAAATAAGAAAAACATGTACTGAAAATTGAAACATTTAAACACCTCATATATGCTTTCTAAATTAAGTGTAATGTTTAACCTTCATTTGGCCACTGACTGTAAACTGAACATCAAATGCCAGAGTAAATATTTTCTTGGACAGAACACTGACTTATATGTACATTTCAACAGGAACTAACAAAATACCTAACTCTCCTTTGCATTCCCCACCAAAATAAAAGGATATTAAAAATATGTATTTAAATAAATTCTCTAATAAGTATATTTGCTACAAATTTAAACTGTTCCTAACAGCAGAACCTTTTTCCATGTTAAAATAGGACACTTGACATAGGAAACTTTGGAGTAGATCATGTTGAGTATAAAGAGTACAGTGTGGTAACTGCTGCTTCATTTGGATAAACAAAGGCTTGGAAACTTTATTGACAGGATAATGGTTAAATGCAATGGCAAAGTAAGAAGAAGAACTTTTCTTGAAATTATGTTTAAGTAATAGCAAAAAATTTTAGATATAGGTATGAAACTCTCCAAAAAGTATAATTAGCTTTCATAAGGGAATAATAACATTTATTTATTAATTACCTAAAAGGTACCAGGCACTTATTAAATTTAGTATACCCATTTTCTTTTCTACAAACAACAATAATACCAATGGTTATGACAATGGGGTGGATCTTCCTGCTTCCTGGTCATTCCAAGACATTAGAGTGAAATGATGAACAGGTGTGATCCACGGTTCTGTCTGTCTAGAATGTCTAGAAGGTCTCCAAGACCTTCACACAACTGGTCCTTCTCATCCTTCACTTGGCAGCTCTTGCCACACTCAGAGAGATTGTTTCTGACCAACAAAATTCCATTCTCATCCCAATCCTAACTCAAAATCATCATCGCATTCTCATCCCCATCCTAACTACAAACTCCCCCAATATTCCCTAACATTTCCATTTTCTTTAAATGAACCACTAACAGTGACTTACAGTGGGTTGTTGTTTCCTTATTTTTCTGCTCCTACCACTACAGCCTAACCCCTCAACTTGTACAGCCTGGTACATAGCTGGTATTCAATAACAAACGTATTTAAGGTCAAAAAACTTAAAATAATCTAGTGAGGGGGCGCCTATATGGCTCAGTCAGTTAAGCAACTGACTGTTGATTTCAGTTCAGTTCATGATCTCAGGGTTGGGAGATTAAGCCCCATGTTGGGCTCTATGCTGAGCATGAAGCCTACTTGGGAATCTTTCTGTCCCTCTTCTTTTGCCCCTCCCCACTCCTCTAACATGCTCTCTCTCTATCTCTAAAAAATAATAACAACAAGCTCCCTGAGAAGGTCTCAAGTACCAAGTTACTATATTAGGTATCTACCCTTGCACAATGCAAGGGTTAAGGGCATTGATAGCTGTGCAGTCCAAACTCCACATATAACTTTGGATTCCCCCAAAACTTTACTAATGAACTTCCTACTTCAAAAGCAATTAGACTTAAAAATAGCAAAAGTGTATATTAAAAAAATATATTTAAATAGAAGACCTTAGATCTCTAGAGTAGAGATCATTAGATCTCTAGATCTAATCTACTTCTTAATCCTCATTTGACCATTGACTCTGTAAACTGAGCACGGAAGGTCAGAGTAAATTATAACCTAATGCTGACCTTACCAATAACGTAAAGTCAATTAACACATTTTGTATGTCCTATATATTATATACTGTATTCCTACAATATAAACTAAAGAAAAGGTTATTAAGAAAATCATAAGGAAGAGATAATACATTAACAGTACTGTATAAAAAAAAAAAATCTGAGTGTAAGTGGACAAACAATTCAAACCCATCTTGGTCAAGAGTCAACTGTATACCTACACAACGTCACTGAAATTTAACATAGCCCAAATTAGAAATCCACCTGCCCATTCTAACTTTCCCCTTCTTTTCTTGACACTACTGCCATTTATTTTATTGCCCTTCAGAAATCTTCACATTTCAAAAAAGGGTCCTCAATATTTAGTAAATCACTAAATACTGCTGTGATCATTTTTGTCTTGTATTTCTATAGCACCCTTAACAGTTTACAAAGTGTTTTCACCTTTGTTCATTACACATACCTGAGAGGTAGGTATTAGAATCATTTTTATGAATGACATCTGTGACATTCAAACAGGTTAAACAAGTTTTTCTGGGATCCCAAAGCTACCAAGTGACAGAACCTGGATGCCACCGTAACTTTTGACTTCAAACACAGCGCTTGCAGCGCTGTGTAGCACCTACCTGTGCTAAGAGATCAGGCCCTTCCATAGTCCGTCACCTTAGAAAAGGTCATCATTACCTTACACTTATGTTTCTACAAGTATGGCTACCACAAAGATACTCAAGGCATACTATTTTAACTATCCGAAATAGTTTTTACCTATTGAAAGCACCACTAAACCAGGGATGCCTGGGCATTTCTGGGATCTAGCCCCATATGACAGTGGGGAGCCTGCTTCTCCCTCGCCCTCTGCCCCTCCACCCCACTCATGCTCCCTTTCTTTCTCAAATAAATAAATAAAATCTTTTTAAAAATAAATAAAACACCACTAAACCAGTGGTAATAATACCACTAATACCATTATATTATTATAATTTTTATTGTAATCCCAATGCTCCTTGTAAATCTACGTAATAATCCAAATATAATAGTTTCAGGGCCTCCCCATGGTTCAGTTGAGCTCTGTGCTCAAACTGGAGTCTGCTTCAGATTCTCCCTCTCCCTCCCACTCACTCACTCTCTCTCTCAACTACATAGATACACAAAATATTTTTAAAATATGCATATGCATATACATACATACAGATAGATAGATAGATACACTTTCAAGTCCCAGGCATTATCTTTTCAAATTCCAACTTGTAAAACACTAAAACCCAAACTCTTTCTAGATCTCATTAGGAGTTTTGCACATCCATATACACCACAGAATCATATGTCTGGCCATAAGCTGGCCTGGAATAATTCTTTGGTTATTTAGATAACTTAATTTCAAAACACAAGCCAATTCCTTATCACGTCTAAGCCTCCGTTTTCTGCAATAATATTACACAGCTTTCATTAGGTTAAGTTTGTAAATTAATAGAACTGTATTATGCTGGATTATTATATTTAGCACATAAATATTTTATCAATTATAGGTAAAAAGTATAAGGAAATAGTTTTTATGGGCAAATGCAGAGATGAGAGAGTAAAGTCTAAGTATCCCTTTTACGTTTTAAAATCACTCCTTGCTTTTATCTTAAAATAATAATAAAACAGTACCTCAGAATCCCAAGGTGATTCTTCATTTTGTTCTGCGAATCCTAATGCTGACAGCATAACTATAAAATAGTCACAGATACATTAATGAGAACACATATTATGAATTTTAAACGTATATACAAGCCTATTCCCCCCTTCATGAATACTTCAATAAAATAAAAGTAAAAGCAGTAAAGAATTTCAGAGGGTTGAAGAATTTTCAGGAAGAAAAAGCTGGTATACTTAAAAAGACAGCAAAAAGAAAACGAAAAATATCTTAATGAAATGGGTAACATAACTGGATCTACATACTGTGATTTTTTTTACACTAGCATTTAAGCCTAGAAAAAAATTCATGGATGTTCACTAACTTACCATGTCTATCATTTTTATCTGCCCTGTCAGCAGAAGTCAAACAGTCATTAACTGTTTGCTCTTGTGGAACACTTTCAGTAATACCATCGTCCTTTGTTCCAATTGCTGGCCGCTCCTCTCCTTCCTATAAAAACAACACAAAACAAAAACCCGACTTCAGAAAACATCACATCAATTCACGTGCTCACTCACTCACTCAGAAAGACAAATGGATCCGTCAAGTCATAGGCACTATCCTGGGAGAAGCTGGAAATATAAATCAAAGAGACTGCCATATATACTAGTAGGGGTAGAGATGGACAAAAACAAGAACAGAAGAGTATCATTTACTAGTTCTACAGGTGAAGTGAATAAAGCACAGTGAAGGCACAAAGGGGAAAACAGTTGTATATGGGAAGCTCAAGAAATGCTGCAAAGGTAGGGCTGTATCTTGAGAGAGAGACTACATAAAGATGGTGTGAAGGGCATTCTAGAAAAGGTAGAATGAGCAAAAGGATGACGTATGGAATAACATAGTAAGTGACGATAGCTACAGAAGGTGGCAAAACTGGAACATGATTTTTGGGAGTGGGATAGAGAGATAGAATTGGAAAACCAGGACTGAAACAAAAAGGGTAAGTGTCATGCTGGAATATGAACTTTCTCCTTCAGGTAATGGGTATCCACTAAAGAAGCAGAGGAGTTACATCACCACAAATATATTCTAGAAAGGTCACTCTGACAGCAATGTAGAGATGAACATAAAGGAACCCAAAGGGCATCTGGGTGGCTCAGTGGGTTAAAGCCTCTGTCTTTGGCTCAGGTCATGATCCCAGGGTCCTGGGATCAAGCCCCAATCAGGCTCTCTGCTCAGTGGGGAGCCTGCTTCCTCCTCTCTCTCTGTCTGCCCCTCTGCCTACTTTTGATCTGAGTGTCAAATAAAGAAATAAAATCTTTAAAAAAAAAAAAAAAAAAGGAACCCAAGACAGAAGAGGATTTCAAAATTATAGGTGAGAGAGGGAATTATAGTAACATATGAAAAATGGGAAGCAGGTACAAAATAATGAATGCAGAGAGTGACTGAATGTGGTGATTTTTTTTAATATTTTTTAAAGGTTTTATATTTATTTGTCAGAGAGAGAGAGAGCACAAGCAAGAAGAGCGGCAGGCAGAGAGAGAAGCAGACTCCTCGCTGAGCAAGGAGCCGAATGAGGGACTCAAACCCAGAACCCTGGGATCCTGACCTGAGCTGAAGGCAGACGCTTAACCAACTGAGCCACCCAGGTGCCCCTTTTTCTAATTTAAATTAATTAACATATAATGTATTATTGGTTTCAGAGGTAGAGATGTGATGATTTTTTTCTAAAAAGATTTAATTTATTTATATTTAGAAGGAGAGGGTATGCATGCGGGTGGAGGGGCAGAGGGAGAGGAAGAGAGAGAATCCTCAAGTAGACTCCCTACT